ACTAACACATCCTCCATCCTTCCTCAAGCCTGTTTACTCAGCTGGATGTCCACAGAGTCCAATTTTCCCTCCAATTGCCCTTGCACGCTAATATAATTGCAGCTCATATGGTTAATTGGTCAGCCTACAGCAGCGTTTGTATGCGTTTGTTCATCTGCACTACCTGGCAGCCTCTTAAAATGAATTTATGGACTGAAAGTACTATTGAATACTTCATTTCATTCAGTTTATAAAAGGACAAAACACATCAAGAAATATTTCCAGAAGCTTTAGACATTAAAAATATTGCAGTGTACACATTAAAATAATTTTTATGGGCAAGTGGGAATAGATCTCCGTTTCCACACACCAAAAAGTAGGCATACAGACACAAAATTCAGTTGTACCTAATTTGCAAATACTAAAATAAATAAATTTCATAGTAGAATAAAATTGCAAACAAGAGCAAATGAAATTGTTGGAAGTTGGCAAGAATGGCCTTTTCTGGAATACACATAGAACACAGAATTTTACAGGTTGGTTTTATGCTGTTGTGGAAGGACGAGTATGAAAGCGATTTTTATTACTGTTATTACCAGAATCCAGTTCATGTGTTGAAATAGAAGATGCAAGTCCTGTGCCACAAACCATCATCACATAGTTTGAACTCCCATATTCATGAAGTGTTACAATTCAGCTATTTTAATCATTTCCTTGCAGATATAACCACTGGCTCTTTGCTTCTGCTCACTTTTCTAGCGTGGATCTTCCCAGGTCTCTAAATAATTTCTGCTATGTCTGAAACTACTGCTCACACCAAAATCACCAGCTCCTATTTTATTACTTTCTGATCCATTTTTCTGTGGTCACTACTATTTTGTTTTACACGTCTAAATCTAATAACTCATATGAACGAAACCAAAATATATGAGCTTTCTCTGCATTGACATCTCTGGCACCGGCTTGCACTTACATGAAACAAAAATGTTGGCGATTCAGATCCCTTTAACTAGCTCAGATAGAAAAAGGATTCCAAGAGTGATTATGAAAGTTTTAATACACAATACAAAAATATAAAAGCCAAAAGTTCTTTAAAAAAAAAAAAAAATCTCTATTTTTGCAATTTGATAAGTGATAACTTATAAACTTTTAGCTAATACCTACAACATAAGTTTCCATCCGAGGAGAGTTCACACAAACATGCCAGACAATGCTTTGATGTTGTGTTCTTGCACTTACCACCACTACTGCCCACAGATTTGTTTGTTTTTACATTACATACAAGAAGTCAGAACACAAAAAGTAAGGAGCTTTAATGCATCAACATAAATGCATTGACATAATTTAATTACTGATGCAGGAAATTTAACATGTAACCGGTAACTAATGCTATCATAGACACTTCTATTGAAAATCAGACCAGGACTTTTGATGCTTCTGCCAACACCCAGTCGTTCGCTTGAAAAGACACAAAAAAGATAACAAGAACTTTACTATTTATCAGACTTCAGTTTCCCAAAGCCATCAATGTGGATTATAGATTAATCTTGTAAAACAAAAAGTATTGAGTAATGAAAGCCATTAAAAAAGAATTGGGAAAATCTGAAAACAGATTCCGAAAATATAAGCAAAGCAGCTAAACAACTTGATCAATGCTAAAGAAATTCAGAGGAGAAAAGGGAGACTTCTAAAAAATACAGTTGATAAGACATCTCAGTAGGAATGAAAAAATAATCCAAAACTTAACTTAATCCAAAACAAAACTTAATCCAAAACAAAACCAGAAACATTACATGAATAAATTAAAGAAAGTGAAATAGGACAATGCATTCTTTGTCAGCTGGACATAATCTTCGACTTTTAGATTTGTTTTGATAATGTCAGATTTGATTACATAATAGCAGAGTATGCTTCTCTGTTTTGGGAAAAACAGAGGAATTCAGCAATTCCCCTCATACATCACTTGTTCTATATCATACAGCATCACTGTATTGAATCTCGTAATTTCAATATGTTCAGTGTAAACATTCTTCAGAATTGTTTGAAAACATTCAAGATTAAACAAAAGCAAATTAGTCAAACATACAACCATATGTGAGTTACATATCTCAGAGTAAGAATTTATAGAAATCAGTATGATTTTGCTTTCTGGCACCTGGATCAAAGATGCTAAGGAGACAGTGATAACTCTCAATCTATAAATTATACTTTGACCTTCAGTATGTCAGTCTTTAGAATGTGCACAGAAATACCTATTTACCCCTAACACAGAAATTACAATTATATTACAATTTTAGTATATTCTAACTCAAATAACATGTATTCCTATGTAAACTGGAATTATTCTTACAGTTACACAGGCAATTCTTATGTGGCCCTTGTTGCAACAGTTGACTTCAATCGTATTCCACTATAGCTGGGAAAAGTGGACATCAAATGTCATTGAGCAAATGCGGCACGATGGAAGTCTGAGGCTGAACACAGCCCACAGATGCAAGTTCATGAATGAACCTTGATGGTCAACTGCCCTACCCCTAAGAAAGTAGCATAAAAGTCTTTTGAAAAACAACACATTCGGAAGGATTCAGCAGGCATGACCTTGCGTGAACACTATTTGTAAGTGCTGATTCTTTCCAAAAGAAAACTCAAGCAGCCCGTCTCTGACTCAATCCATTTTGAAGTCCTGATATTTTTACTAATTTAGATATAGATTCATTAGTGTACAAGAATTAGTTACGTTTATCTTCAGTAATGCAGGAGGCAACTCACAGTATATTTTATGCATTTAACTATTAAATCTATTAACCTTAAAAAAATCACAAAAGTAAAAGTGAGTAGAAAAATGACATGCCTGATATATTGTGTAGCAGTAACAATGGTGTTTCTCTTCTGATAAAAACAGCACACCAAGTAGGAACGTGTCACTTTATATTTCCATACCTGCCCAAGTTACTCTACCAGAGCATCTATTCTGTTCAATATGAGAGTGGCTTTAAGTAGAACTAGTCTGTGCCGATATGTGCTGCAGGAAGCTATGAAAAGAACTATTACAGCTGAAAATGAGGGCAGATGAACATACAGAAGTCATTCATAGCAGGAACTTTCACATAGTTCTGAATTCACTACAATGGAATGGGTAAATGAGACAGCAGTCGGATTAAAAAGGTCTGGTTTCTAATATGAATAATTAGGAGAATTTCTCCCAAGGATAATTTCTTCCTACATCATGCAAATGCTTCTAAAAGGTCCAAACAAAATGAGAAATCGTTATCATCCTGATTTTATTGGAAAAACTACCTGCATCTTTAACCCATAAGTCACACATTGTGGTTATTTTTAAATTTAACTTGCTGTTTTTTGAACATAACAATTCGGTGCTGTTAGGTCTAAGTTAGGACTTAGTTTTCAACAGTTTAGTTTTCAAACTAAAGCAAGTCTCCTGCTTAAGACAAAGTGAAAATTAAGCCTGTAGAGATATCGGACATAATTTTTAGAAGGTTCTTCACAACCTCACACTAGCTAGCATACAGAATCTGAGAGACATTGATGGATAATCTCTAAATGTGGTAAAATGAGCCTCTACCTTTAGCAGTTGCAGCACACTAAGCTGAAGCCTAACCAGGACTTGAAAACCTGTGCCAAGTGCCCACAGCTGATTTGAAATATTTAAGAGCTAGCAGAATGCAACAGAAGCAGTTATTTGGTATACCTGGAAGCAACATATATAGAAGGCAGGAACAAACAAAGCATTCCCATCTCTGAGGGGAATTATGTGACTGAAGAGGAATAAACCTGAAAAGTTTAAATGCTGGGCTTGTGATATACACACCCATACTAACATTTCTAGCATTCTTTCTATGTATTAGCATTGCTGGACAAGTACGATGTTCAGTTGGATATCTTCATCAGGTTCAAATCTTTTTTTCTGGACTTTAACAAGAGATTTGAGTTTTCACTGCTGAAGAAAATCCAGTAGTATCTTGAAATGCAAAAAATGGAGTAGGACCTTTGTATTCAGACAGTTAACTTTCAACTGGTTTCACTATTATGACTGAAAATGTATTTCTTACACATGCTGCTAAAAAATCAATTTGTTATTCTTGCATAAATATAAAAACTGTAGAGCTAATACTGAATGAGAATTAATATTGAATGTGGTACTAATTTTACACAACTTAGTCTTCGGAGGCAGATACCATGGAAGTACATTTAGCTTTTATTCTATACTGCTACTAGAAGTACTATTAAGTACCGTTGATTGGAATATCTATTGATTAAGCAACATTTTTTGTCCAAAAAAATCAGGACTGCAGCAAACAGAACACTTCTAAGGAAAGTAATGATATGTCCAGTTGGGAAATTGAGAAGAGTCCATTAACAGTACTATGCTTTCTCTTTGTGATAATATTATTCCAATAAGGCCACATCACTTTCTTATTTTTAGCAGCATCAAAATTAAGTCCATTGTGAAGACAAAGATTGGAGATGATGAAGTCAAACAATACGTCAAAGTGTCAGCAATTTCAAATACAAGAGACAGTGGCACTCTGCTACAAGTGATGTCCTGCTGGTAGGAAGGCTGGCAAAATACAGTATATAATGTGCCACAAAAGGTGTTTTATGTTAATTACAATTTCAGGTTATCAGAAACCCACCTTATTATCACTTGTTTCATCTGAATGCGAAGACGAAAAAGATTCTCTTTTATAGTACTACTGAAATCTTATCTTTGTCCCCTTATACTGGTGTAGAGTGGCCTGATGGAATAAAAGAAAATGTTTTCATTGTTTCTAGAAAATATAATCTGTTGAATAAAACTGGAAAACTGTAAAATGAACATTAAAAGACTTGTATAATGATGGCATGTGTACTCAAACTGCAAATAGTTGCTCTTTTCAACTTCACTCAGTTCAGTGAGCTTTGCTAAAAATCAAAGCATTTGGTACCATCTTCACTTCCACTGTTTTATGAATTTTCCCTTCACATTCACTCACTTTAGATTAAATCCAAGTAGAATAATGTGATTAAGTGCTTTAGAATGCAATTTTATTTATTATTTATTGTTCAAAAGAAAAGTCAACCGATCTACACATTTTCTAGAAAACTTGCATGTGCTACAAAACATTTGATGTGGGCCCAAGACTGTGTCCATTTAAGATGCAGTTTTGTCTTGCAACGTTCCTCTTTCCACTAGCACAGACACACACCCAAATCATGCAATTATTGCTCCAGATAACCAGTGTGCACTAAGGAAGAATAACAGCTGCACACCATTCTTGCTTCAGGCCAAGAGTCAACTGTCGTTGCTTAATATGGCCAAAAGAGGGCACTTCGAGAATAAGAGAGGAAAGGCTCTACTTCACACTGGAGCATTAGCTAGGCAGACTACAGTCTGAAAATAACTACACAATCTCAGAGACCAAACACATAGTAATGTCTCAAGCCTAAAAATTAATCAGCATTAACTGTAAAGCATGAGAAAAAGTGCAAGGATGTTTATATGCATGCCCTGTTATGCACTCAGAGCATGTTTATCCCCAGTCTGTGCCTTATCAGGACAGATTTTTTTCTGTTTCATATTTCCTCCTTTTTGAAAATAGTGGAACAGAGTTGAAATTATATCCCCACAGAACAGGTAACATTCACTGGTGTCATCATTTCATTGTATATATCATGTAAAAAAATTTTAACTGATGTTCACAGAGTTGAGAGGATTCTGTATTTATAGAATTGGTTCTCTATATGTATAATCTATTCTATTGGTTATATATCTATTGGTTATAGAATTGTACAGTTAACCACGTGATATCAAAAAACAGAAGGAATGAAATATATCCCCCATCACAAATGTATCACAAATAATTATATTCTTGATCCTCTCTCCTAACAAGCATCAAAGTGTAATGACCTGCTATGAAAACTGATTAGCATGAAAAATTTTTAAAAACAAAAACAGAGTTTTTCTCATTAAAAAATTGGCACATAAACCAAAACTGACCTCTATTATTCTCTTAAGTGTTTTACAGAGACTATAGTAATTGAAGTCCTTCCAAAGACAAGTGAATACAGGCATTACTTTATAATAAATACAAATATTATTTTTAATTTCAAGTGCTAGTCTAGCCTTTTTATCCACTTTCCTCAAGCTCATCTTTGTTTATGGACTGCTGCCAATTATGATCTTAAATTCTGAAGTCACATCTATAAATGCAGCAACAGAGAACAGTTGAATATTAGGCTCAAAATTTAAAATAAGAAAGTATTGTATTTATTTTTAAAGAGAGAAGGGAAGTCAGTTCAAACGTTAAAAGCTCAGAAAAAGGTTAAAATTCAAGTTACTTTAAGATGATTCTTCTAGCATTTTCAATGATCAAACCTGTTAGTTCCGTAAAGGAACATCCACCATAAGCAGTGACTGCATTAACATTTTAAGGAGCAAATCTAAAAATTCATTATGAATAGCATTCATGACAAATTTAGCCCTTCACCCTCAATGAACTGTTTGCAAATTAACTGATTTGCTGCAAACTCAGATTACATGCTGTACACTCTCTGCCTGTGCCTTTAAAAATTACCATCACTTGGCTGTCATTTAATCATAGAATCACAGAATCATAGAATGGCCTGGGTTGAAAAGGACCACAATGATCATGTAGTTTCAACCCCCTGCTATGCGCAGGGTCGCCAACCAGCAGACCAGGCTGCCCAGAGCCACATCCAGCCTGGCCTTGAATGCCTCCTGGGATGGGGCATCCACAGCCTCCTTGGGCAACCTGTTCCAGTGCTTCACCACCCTCTGAGTGAAAAACATCCTAATATCTAACCTAAACCTCCCCCGTGACAGTTTAAGACAATTCCTGCTTGTCCTATCACTATCCACAACAGCTGTTTATAAGTTCCCTTCAAGTACACAATGAGGTCTCCCTGGAGCCTTCTCTTCTGCAAGCTAAACAAGCCCAGTTCCCTCAACCTTTCTTCATAGGAAAGGTGCTCCAACCCTCTGACCATCTTAGTGGCCCTCCTCTGGACCTGCTCCAAGAGCTCTACATCTTTCTTGTGCTTTTTAAAAATGGACCCAGTACTCCAGATGGGGCCTCACAAGAGCTGAGTAGAGGGGGACAATCACCTCCCTCTCCCTGCTGGCCACCCCTTTTTTAATGCAGCCCAAAACACAGTCAGCCTTCCGGGCTGCAAGCACACACTGCTGGCTCATGTCCAGCTTCTCATCCACCAGGACCCCCAAGTCCTTCTCCGTGTGGCTGCTCTCAAAGAGATCTTCCTTTGTTTGTATAAATTCCTGGGATTGCCCCAACCCAAACGCAGCACCACGCAGTTGGCCTTGTCAAACCTCATTAGGTCCCACTTCTCCAGCCTGTCCAGGTCCCTCTGGATGGATTCCCTTCCATCCACTGTATCAACCACACCGCTCAGCTTGGTGTCATCCGACAACTTTCTGAGGTGCACTCAATGCTATCATCGATGTCATTGATAAAGATGTAAAAGAGCACCGGTCCCAAGACCAACCCCTGAGAGACACCACTTGTGATCAGCCTCTATCCTGACACAGAACCATTAATCACAACCCTAAGGTGATTGATCTGTGATTAATTTAAGGTGGATTTTGGTCCTGTTAGACTAGACAACAAACACTATAGGCTTTGCAGCTGAGAATCTCCCCTGAAAATTCACAGAACTTTCAAAAATCACCACTACTACCTCTAAAAACTACCACTACTACAAATGCTAGCATTTGTACAGATATACAAGGCTATCATAAATTACATATTTTTTTCCAGATTCAGAAAAGTTAAGCCAGTTTTGGGAATCATTGTCATTCCACCACAACGAAAATGATGCTTTCTTTGGTTAATTATTTCCATAAATAAAGGGCCCAAAACAAGCTATCGTAATCAGTATAGTATGCCATCCCTCTTAGTAGCAAATATCTATATCTCTATATAAATACTTTTAAATATTTTCACAAATACTTCCCATTTATAAACACCTAAATCAATTCCAGCTAACTGACTAAGGAAGAGAAAATGTAAAATGTTTATATATACTATTTAATATACTATTTCTTATGGTACATTATGCCAACAAATTAAATATGTATTTTTAAAAAGTAATCATTCTTGTGTATGTACCACACAATTTTTGTTGTTGTTGAATTATTGCAAAGAAGTCCTTGGGGTGTTAGGGAAAACATGCTTTGCATGTGCATATTTTACCCTGTGGCTTTTCTTAGCTTTTGCTGACATAAATACATTAGTATTTTCCACTGAGACTATATCTATTCAAAAGGATGACTATAAGATCTCTCTATATAAACATATACATGTATTTATATAACTTCTCAGACAAAAGTTTAGGAAAACGTCTGCTTGTTTTAAATGCTACCTTTTATAGTGCTGTGCTGCATGGTTAAAATCATGTCAATCATCACAAATAAATGGCAGTATAGGAGAATTTTAAATACATGCAGCAGAACCAGAGACCTCAATATTATCTAGGAGACCTACACGTAGAAACAGTAAAAAAAAAAATAATAATATTAAGACACTTAGAGGGAAAGCTAACAATCAATGTAAACTTCAGTGTTTCCTTCCAGAGAAAAAAAAAGAAAAGAGAGTCATTATTACCAAACAAATAGCGTAAGACTGCATTTGTTTTTTTGTTTTTACTATTAACTTCAAAGACAAATGAAATCTTTTTGGAAAGCTAATTTGAAAGTGAATATATCTAAATGTAAACATACAAAATGTATTAATTTCAGACCAGAATCAAGACCACAATGAAAATAAAGCTTGGGACACACTGTGATGTCTACAATTGGTGGGTTTTTAATTGAGTTGAAGACTGTCATAGTCCTATCATCATAAAACCTGTAACACACTTCCAGCATGGAGGACCCATCTGTGCCCACCATCCATCTGTTTAGACGTGATTGGCAAAGTGGTAGGGAACTCGCAGTGGTTGCCTCTGTCTGAAAGGAATAAACCACAGGATCTTCCAGCGAGTGCCAAAAACTTCTGAGAAGGTCTGCTGCCATGGCTTTCGGGGCCTCGATCTACAGAAGACAGCATTATTAGTGAAAGACAGCACTCCCATGGTGCACTTCAGTCAGCTGAAACAAAACATGTTGGCTAGGGATCTATTAATGGAGTTTTTTCACTGTTGCATGCAGCTGAAACTCAGCTTCAGAAAACAGAAATTATCTATGTCATCAAATCAGCTAAAGGTAATTTTTTGAAGCAGAGAACCTCAGAATCAATTGAATGTATGTCAAGGAAGTGGTTTTTCATCCTTATTTTTGTAAGAAAATGCAATTTCATTCAACTATTAGTAAGAAAGGAAAAAGAATAACGTGCATCTGCTTTGTACAAAACCAATTATTACAGGATTAGAGAGCTACTGCAAGAGATAGGAATCACTGAGTACACTAACATACAAAACAATTTAAACAGTGCCTTTAGTTCCTCGCCTCTCTCACACAATTAAACAAGCAGCTACTGCTTCAGCAAATAAATGTAGAAAGTTTGCAGCACTTACACATCTTCACAACAGTTCGACATTTTTTCTATGCTTGTTGTGTCCTGTTGAAGAAAAGAAAACAGACTGAAAAACTATTTCTTTATACTCCTATATATTAACATGCCATTGTGAAAGGAATAAAGCAGGGAACAATTCTAAGCATATGATGCTTTGACTTTGGTCCAGTAGGTCACATATTACTCATATTCCATGTTAGTTGTAAAGAGCTGTAAGATTATATGCACAAATTTATTCAGTTTGTCAGTGATTTTTACAAATATGATGAACATGATGTAACATTATATCGTGTAGTTTTACTGTGATAGCACACACCACAGAATATTAACAAAAACTACAGTATTATTAAAGTTCAAATAAATTCAGATATTACAATTAATTCACAAGACACTTATAAGTAGTGTGCACAAAGTAAACTCTTGCCATATTTTTCATAAGCACTCATTCTAGACTTGGAGTAGTCCACTGAGATAATCACAGGAACTAAATATATTTATACCTTAATAAAATTGAACCATTAGCAGAAGTAGTACTTTGAAAAGCAGGAACTAGTAAAAAATGTTGCAATACTGATCTTAACAAATATCATAATGCAAACAGCTGCTAAGAATATACCAATCATTTCAGTTTCTAGAGATACTATTAAAAGTAAATATAATTATTTTAAAACTCATTAAAAAATAAACAATATCCAGAATGAAGATGCCCCTTCTGCTAAGAGTAAACAAAATCATGCTTTCCCGATCATAATTAACTTAATAATTCACTAGGTTTTGTAACCAGTAGATAAATTTAAGCTTAGATCATTTCCAAATAAAACTTCTAAAACTACGAACAATAGTGCTTTTCTCTCACTTCCACACTACGTATTTAATGAAAAGCTTGCTTTGTAGATGAATATCACTTCAACTCCAGCAGTATTAGTGTTTCCAAGCACTGCCACAGCTCATTATGTCCCAAAATCATTAATCAGATCTAAAATACAACAATTTAAATATTTTTCATCATTCCATCTTCTTGTCATGGCAGCTTGATATTTCCCTTCAATTTTCACTCTCTAGGCATGTACATAATGCACCTGTCAGATTACACCAGCATCTGAATGAAACAGAGCTTGCCTTTATTATCCCAGCCATTCAGAGATGCAAAGGATGTGGCTTAATTAGGCTGTGACTTCATTAAGTCATCTGGAAACACCACCTAGCAATAAAACTGTGCTTCTTGGCTGTTCTTGCCATCCGCTGCATCGAGTTCAGTACAGGCGCTGCTGGGATTCTGCTACCACCTTTCACAAACATTTGAAGGGCACTGGTAAAATGTTATTGGGATGTAACAAAGGCACTTGCATCCCTACTTCACTGAACACAGGTGTCCTCAATTCCCCTAGTCAAACTTCAATCTTCTAAATCTCCTTCCTGACCATGATCAGTTTTGGAAGAGGATCCCTTTACTGCTACACGGCACAAATTTAAGTTCTGCCCTCTGGCCTACCTGACGAACTCTACATTCACTACTGCAAAGGAGAGAAGTTGCCTATTCTTACTCTAACCCACCAGGAAGAAAACTTTACTCCCTGTTTCTGTAGAAAAGGCATGCCCACAAGAGATTATATAAATCCATTCTGGACCCAACATTAGGCAGATTTGAACAACTGCTCAAGACTGACAGAGAGGACCAGCATAGAGACAGCAAATTGTCAATAATGGTTTGTATTCCAATTCCCACAAACCTTATAGGCCTGTCGAGCATATTGGCCTGCCTTCCCTCCCCTCACCTTCCACAGGTAGCAGCAAGAAAGCATTAGAAGACATTTGCCATTTTCCCCATTATGGCAGGACTGGGCTGCACAGCCAAAGAATATTCTGTTTCCTTGTCCTAGCATTTTGTCTTGTTCTTTTCTGATCAATGAAAATCACACACAGCTGAATAAATAAACACAGATATTACCTCCACAATACATCAATCAGGTTATAAGAGTGGTTTCATGACATGCCCCTTCCATAACTACAAAAATATCCCTGGGAATTATCTTCTCGTCACCTCAAGCTGTCTATCTGATGACACAAAATACTACTGGTATGTTTGAAAGCAGTGACTGCTAACTAACATTTTAGAACAGTGCTACGCTAGTCCAGACTATAACTGATTTCCACCTATCAAGGATTTACATTACCATTACACATAAGGAATCTTAAAGCAGCTTTGGACAGATACTCGGTAACAAACTAATACATTAAGCACAGCTTCTTACTGTTTCTCCACATGGTCTGTTCATTAATGTGTTTGTAAAGCTACCTAAAACATCACATTTGAGATTTTTAGAGTAATTCCCTGTTTGGAGATGGAGTGGGGGGAAGAGTTGTATTTCTCTTTAGTTGTCGTCATGGCACTGAGACCTGAAGCATGCTACTCAGGGTGTGCTTGTGTCAAAAAAAAACAAACCTCTGCCACGTGCAGAAAGCACTACAATGGGACCTGCCGAAAGACTGTCAAACTTTCAAATCTTTCAAACATACCAAATACTTTATTTGGATAGGAAGTCCAAGAAAATAGTCCTTTCTTTCCTTCTTCTTGCATTAAAGTTCTAGAATATACTTTATCATCCTTGCGCTTTACAGTAAAAGAACTGGACTAAGCAGCCAAACTTTTGTTTCTGGGACACCTTCTCAGAATTTATTAAAAAAAAAAATCTTTATAGACACATTTTAAAAGCTGTGAGCTAGTGCTTGAGGGAACAGGAGGAAACATCTCTCTTTGAAGTTTAGCTACTTAACAACTGCTGGAGACTAACTTACTCAAATTCCCCCCCTGCTTCCCTCTCCCAACACCACTGCCAAACAGCTGGGCTCATTTGAAATGTATTTTAATTTGACAGTGAACCAATTTACCTTTTCACATGAAAGTGAAACTTCACAGCACCCCAGGAAACTCAGCAGCCCCTCTGGAGATGGAAGAGGAAGGAAAGGGAGATATATTCTTCTTTCAGAAATGAAAAGAAGGACCAGGAGGACCAGAATAACCATTCTTCTTCTGAATGTATCCTGTTCATTAATGTATCTCATGAATGGCTTTCAACCAGAGTATCACCTCACATACAAAGGCTTTATTACAACATCGGCATTACTGCATACAGCCTAAGAGGCTTTGCCTGTCTGCATATACTATCAGCTTGGATTATAATTAATAGAACACTTCTAAGAATTTTTTGGGTTTTCTTTTTCTTTTTTTTTCAGACTCATAGCCAACGCTGATGTTTAAATGTCCTAGGGAGTTGGTACTCACACAGAAGTTTAACATCACATGGTATGAACCACCTTGTTAGACCTATTGAGACCTAGTAACCTCTATCTTCAAGAAAAACGCTGACTTTAAGTCAAAATTGACTGATCAGCAAACAATCAGTTTTACACAGTGGGTCATGTGGACCCCAAAGCGACTGGAAACACCTGGCTATTCAGATACACACCCACCAGTAAGTGTATAAAAGGAGAAAAAAAAAATAACTTAGTGAGAAAGGCAAAAGAAATTCGAGGAAATAAACACAGAAATCGTTAACAGCGTATAACTTTAAAAAGAGACAAAGGGAAAAGTGCTCAGATTCTGCAGAGGAGATAAAACGTTGGGTTGCTTTCTTGTTGCAGTTTTTTGTTTCTGGCTTGGTGGGTTGTTTGTTTTGTTTTTTGCGTTAAGGACTTACTACGAGCTGAGCAGCTTGCCTGCTCTAAGTAAGCTACTGCAACAGCTAATACTGTTAGGAATGATAGGAGTACTGAGAGAATTCTGTGGATTTAAGATTAATTTGCAAATGAATGCACCTGTGCTACCTACAAAGAAACAGAAATCTTTCACATCTATATTTTTAATAAGTATAACCAACTGCCTCAAAATAGAGATTTCAAGAAAGATCCCATGCACCATTTTACAAATTGAGCTATAGAATGAGATTCATCATGAACTAATTTATGATGGAGCAAGCACATGGAAGAAATATTTTCCTCTAAGTGGTTCATGTTTTCCAAAGGAGAAGCAGTAATTCGTAACTCACAGAACTAACCCCAAGTCATGTATCCACAACCTTTGGTTTAGTTTTACTCCTGTACTTGCTTAAAGTGATGTGCAATCAATGCAGTTTTACTTAACACTCGTACTAGAAGAAGACAAACAGTAAGTCCTACTTTCTTAATTGATTAATTTCAAACATTTAGAAGATAAAAATTAGCTTGAAAGTATGATTACATACAACAAACAAAAATTTGCAAGTCTTCCTGCACTTGCAACCATTGCTTTCTCATGGAAGTACCACTGCATCTGAATAATCCATCAACTTTTCATTCCTTCTACCTATCTTCTCTTGTTTGTATGGAAATGGCAGTTCCACACAGTTGAAGAATACTAAACACTGAGCATCACACAAAAAGAACATTGAGCATTTCATAAATCTCCCATGTAGGCATTAATTACATTTTCATTTTATATACGGCTACCTTTTAGCATAGTTTTCTTAATCTCGAATTCTTACGTAAGAAAATACAATTAGTTTTATCAATATCAGTTAGGTTCAGTTTGAAAATTACTAGTTGAGTTCTAGCCTCCATGTTTTAAAATTCTTAAATCAGAGAACTGCATGCAAAATGAAAAAAAAAAAAAAAAGAGGCTATGGTATATGTATAAGGAATATTCCTACACAGTTCTAGTCTCTGATGCATTGTGTTTGTAAAACTTCTTACTCATGTCAGTTTTATTAAATAATTCAGTGAAAGAAAACGTGACAACAAATTTGCATCTTTGCATTTGCAAATAAGATGGAAAAAACAGATTTCCTCAGTGTATTTCAAATCCATGGTGTGTTAGGTGCAGGTTCCTGCTTGACCCCCAAACACATGACAAAACATGCACATTATATTTCTTCATACATAGCAATAAAAGAAAAAAATATTAAGGAAAAAATGCTTTGCAAGGCTAGCCACTGGCTGTCCTCACATACAAGTCATTTTAATTGTCTCATGTCTAAATTTGACAACCCGGTATTTGGCCCTGAGAACAG